CCGCTCAAATTACACCCCTAAAACAAAGCCAAGAAGCAAAGGATATCCTCAGACCTCTATCATGTCAAAGAAAGGAATGCGGGTGTGATGGCTTTGGACCTTAATCCTAATCCTAACGCTAACGCTAACCCTAACCCCTATGGGAAGATCCAAAAAGTTTTGCTTTTGTGCACCGACATTTGAGCTGATTCTTTTCTGCCATTTTTGGTACCGGTAAAGTCCCAACAATGTCATCTTCAAAACTTGAATCTCTCAAGAAAAAAAAATTTGAATCTCTCAAAAAAAAAAAAAAACTTGAATCTCTCAACCTAAGTACGAGGGGAGGTGGGGACAGGGCTATCTCCACTTGACCCTTATTTAATTAGAAAAAGTGGTTAAGCGTGAATAAAAAAAAACCTAAGTACCTACTTTAAAGTGTTTTTTTTTCTCATATCTTTTTGGGAGAAAGTGTGGTAAAAAAAAAAATTTGATATCGTACCATTAATTATTATTTTTTATGATAAAATTATAACTTAAAAAAAAATTATAATTGTTCGAAAAAAGATCATACTCGATTATGAACATCCAATATCAATTTCAACTTTACATGATTGCTAATGTCCTTTAAAATTATAATTTACATCTTTAAAAAATTAAAATTTAACCTTAAAAAATTATAATTTTTTTTACGATACCACCAAAATATAGCATTTTTTCTCTTTTTGGGGAATATCAAGCTTTTGCCTTCTTGTGCCATATGCTTTCAAGCGCGTAGCAATTCATGCTCAATGAAAAGAGTCATACATCTTCTACTTTATCATTTTTTCAAAGAAATCCTCTCTATTATTCAAAATATAATTGACACCATTTCTAATTTATATTTAAACATTATTGACATCCCTCATTGTTAAACCACCATTTCTAACAAAAAAATTTATCAAAAATACTAAAATTATCTTACATAAACCTCAAACAATAATTCTATATAAAATTTGAATTGATTAAAATTTATTTTTCTACATATTAAAATTCAAACCAATTAAAATTTATTTTTCTACATATTAAAATTTGACCAGATTAAAATTCGATTCGAGTTGATTAATTTTTTTTTTTTATGTATTCAAATTCGAGCCTATTAAATATTTTTTTATGTATTAAAATTCAAGCCAATTGGAGCTCTACATGAATTGTTAGAGCAGATTAAAATTTTTTTTGAATCAATTAAAATTTATATTTTTTTTAGTTATTAAAATTCATTCCAATTAAAATATGAGTTGATTAAAATTTGATTCGATTTTAATCAACTTGAATATAATTTTAGTCGACTTAAATTTTAATATGTAAAAATTGAATTTGAAGATGTGCCTATTTAGAGGGACTATTGATGGACAATTTAGTAAAATTATATTCTAGTTAGAAAGAGATTTCAGTGATAATTCAAAAAAATAAAAAGAGTGTCCTTAAAAATATGATAAATTAGAAGAAGTGTGACTGAAATTTTTTCTAAAATTTATAACAAAATGTGTCACTTGGAGGTACGTGTCACTCGAAGGTATGTATCACTTGAAAAAATTACTCATTCTTCTTGTTTCATCTTCTCTACTTTTCTTTACTTCTCATATCATTGAATTTGTTCTCGTACAACATTCGATCACAACTAGGTCTGTCAATCATTTCGGGTAAAACAGATTCGTATAAAAAAATATTAAACTCATACCCCATTCATTTATTAATTCGTATCTAACAAATCGTGTCATATAGAATTCGTGTCGTGTATAAACTAATCATGTCGTATATTTTTTTTTGTTTGATTTCACTTATAACGAATTTGTTTGTTAATTTTGTGTTAAATCCATTTGTTTACAGAACAAGTAGTTTAAAGAAGATTCAAACTCTCTAATTTTGTATTGTGTTAATGAATCGTGTATCTTTTAACACCCCTAATCACCGGAACCAGAGAAAGCCACCCCCATCAACCCTCAATATACACACAAAACCCATGGCACCATCGGCTCCCCCATCTTCACTCCCATTGGCCCCGACCCCCACTAGTAGACACCCATGGTGCAAATCCAAGAAGCACCACCACCAAACATCAACGGCTTAGTGCACGAGCCACACACATTTGTCTTTTAATGGTTCTGAAGGGAAGACTGATGGGAACCGAGGGGAGAGAGAGAATTTGAGAAAGTTAATAATATTTATTGTCAACACTAAAACTTATCCTCATCTCACACCAAAACTAACCTATGACCAAAATCTGTAAGGATAAAATTGTACTTCTCAAATTTATTTATCAAAAATTGTATTCTAAATGATGTGTCAAAATTTTATATATTGAATGTTTGGTATAAATTAGTGGATCTCACTGATCCAACTACTTACACTAATTTGTGATGTAAAATTTGATAAATAATTTAGTAAATATAACATTACTCAACCCGAAAGCACAAATACGCATTCCTAGCATCACCATCACCAGCACCAGCACCCATCTCTGATTCATTTGAATCAAACACTGTAGAATTTCAACAAACTAGCAAATATGACAATTGTTAAAGTTTAGGGACCCTTGGTGTATTTTATATTTTTTGAACATCTTTTGAGGATGCAAAATGATCTTTTAGATGTTTGTCTTTAAAATCTTTCCTTTTCTTTTCGTTAGGGCTTCTAATTTTTATCGTTGGTGAAAGAGAGAAAATTCAAAAGTGAGAGGAATAAAGCATGGAGATATACATTTGATTGATGTGAAACAGACACCCCAACAGAACTCCAAGTTGAAGAAAAGGGTTGGGAAAAGAAGCCATGGAAAACGAAAGGGGTCTTTGGGAATCAGGAAATTGCCGATATCTTGAGCCCTAAAATAAGCTTTCTGAACAAAAATTTTAAAAAAAAATCATGCAATATTTTCTTTATCGATCATAGGGTTACTCGTTAAAATCATGCCGTGATATTTTGGATTCATTTTGTGTCCCTATTAATCAAAAGCTTTATAATTCTAAAAGAATCCATAGAAAACTTTCTTCTTACAAAAAAGTTGTAAGGGGTTATTCATGTTTTGTGCTTGCTTACTTAATTCATTTATTATTCATGTTAAATTAACACCCACGAACCTTGGACAAGGTCCAAGGCATTGGACTAGAAAATTACGAGAAAATAGATAAAGGAACCCCCATATTTTAAGACACTAGAAGAATAACACTTAAGAGCATTTCCAATAAGATTTGGTATTTTAACTATCCAAAAGTACACTTTTTTCTATTTTAACTAGTCACTTTTTCAATACACATCTCAACAGATTTTCTATATTTTAACTACTACTTTTAAAAATTATTTCACATATTTTGTACTTTTGTTGGGACTGTTTTGAGAGAGAGAGAGAGAGAGGTGGGAAAGGACAGAAGAAGAGAGAAAAAATATGCACCGAACATATTCTGTTAGAGCATAGTTTTTATCTTTGGTTAACTAAATTTTAACTATTTTGAAATTGTACATGTTCTATCAGAGATGTTCTAAGCTAGTAAATTTTTGCAAGGCATTCAAGCTACAGGCCCCGCTGCATTTGGCCCAAATTCTTTTATGTACCAAAATATGAATNCTCACTGATCCAACTACTTACACTAATTTGTGATGTAAAATTTGATAAATAATTTAGTAAATATAACATTACTCAACCCGAAAGCACAAATACGCATTCCTAGCATCACCATCACCAGCACCAGCACCCATCTCTGATTCATTTGAATCAAACACTGTAGAATTTCAACAAACTAGCAAATATGACAATTGTTAAAGTTTAGGGACCCTTGGTGTATTTTATATTTTTTGAACATCTTTTGAGGATGCAAAATGATCTTTTAGATGTTTGTCTTTAAAATCTTTCCTTTTCTTTTCGTTAGGGCTTCTAATTTTTATCGTTGGTGAAAGAGAGAAAATTCAAAAGTGAGAGGAATAAAGCATGGAGATATACATTTGATTGATGTGAAACAGACACCCCAACAGAACTCCAAGTTGAAGAAAAGGGTTGGGAAAAGAAGCCATGGAAAACGAAAGGGGTCTTTGGGAATCAGGAAATTGCCGATATCTTGAGCCCTAAAATAAGCTTTCTGAACAAAAATTTTAAAAAAAAATCATGCAATATTTTCTTTATCGATCATAGGGTTACTCGTTAAAATCATGCCGTGATATTTTGGATTCATTTTGTGTCCCTATTAATCAAAAGCTTTATAATTCTAAAAGAATCCATAGAAAACTTTCTTCTTACAAAAAAGTTGTAAGGGGTTATTCATGTTTTGTGCTTGCTTACTTAATTCATTTATTATTCATGTTAAATTAACACCCACGAACCTTGGACAAGGTCCAAGGCATTGGACTAGAAAATTACGAGAAAATAGATAAAGGAACCCCCATATTTTAAGACACTAGAAGAATAACACTTAAGAGCATTTCCAATAAGATTTGGTATTTTAACTATCCAAAAGTACACTTTTTTCTATTTTAACTAGTCACTTTTTCAATACACATCTCAACAGATTTTCTATATTTTAACTACTACTTTTAAAAATTATTTCACATATTTTGTACTTTTGTTGGGACTGTTTTGAGAGAGAGAGAGAGAGAGGTGGGAAAGGACAGAAGAAGAGAGAAAAAATATGCACCGAACATATTCTGTTAGAGCATAGTTTTTATCTTTGGTTAACTAAATTTTAACTATTTTGAAATTGTACATGTTCTATCAGAGATGTTCTAAGCTAGTAAATTTTTGCAAGGCATTCAAGCTACAGGCCCCGCTGCATTTGGCCCAAATTCTTTTATGTACCAAAATATGAATTGCTGAAAGGATTGGAAGCCCAAAGCCTCAAACCATTCAACAACTGGCCTTCAAACCTTAAAAGAGGCAGAGTAACGATTTACTTATGCACTTTGTCAGGACCAGTGACGGAGAGTTAGAGATGAATGATAATGAGTGTAATGCCAAATAATCGAAAAAGGGACAAAAAAAATGACCAAATGATGCGGTGCTAATATGGTGATGCTGAAATGGACCACATATACAACACGACTAAAGTGGGATGCAAATGCACTATTGACCAATTATACACTGAATGAGATATGTTCAACAAGCTATGAGCTAAACAAGTGCTTACTTGCAGCAAGAACTCTACCGCTTTGGTTCATTCAAGGTCTTTCCTTCGAAAAACTCAGCCAGCATTCGCTCCAGATCCTCTGGACTAAACCTGATGTACTTTTGGGGATTCTTGCCATTCTCAATCATAGAGCTAAAGCATAACAAAACCACAAAAAAACCATCATCAAGGAAGGAAGAACAAGCAAAGTTGAAGTTGCAAATATTGGAAAACGTACCCAAAACGTCTAACAAAAGATCTATAGGCAGGCAAAAGGACTTCAGCCACAGCCAGCCTTAGAGACTCACGCAACTCACTGTCTGGGACTGTCCATTGAGACTGCCTTTGGTGAAGCTCCTCAAATATAATGTTGAAGCTCTTGAACCTATCTTTCACCATTGCTCTTGAAACTCCACCACTGCTGCCACCATCAGCTCCAAATGAACCACTCCCACCTGATGAAGAGAGGCCCTGAATGGAGAGAGACTGCAGAATCTGCAGAAAACAATCACAATAAAGGCTCAGTATGAACACTGTAATTCGATGTGATTTGATAAATGTCTAGTGAGAATTACGAATGCAAAAAAGGTGTAGTGCCGTACTGCAAAATTACATCTCTGAGCTAGAAACAGTATAATAAATATTCCAAATATATGCTGCTGACCCCCAATCATGGAAGGTACAAAACCAGATATAAAACGGTTAATAAATAACAAGTCACCAAATAATATTTCCCCAAAACCCACAGGCAAAAGCAGGATTTGATGACCAGAAAGTTAACACTGTCTTTGTTGCAAGTTGTTTGAAAGGTAAAAACCATTTTCCCAGAATTTAGGGGGTCTGTTTATAACAAAAATTCTTAAACCATCTCTATTAGTTTAAGCTTTTCAAATGGTTAGTAGGTCCTGAGGGTATGCACATGCTCTGTCCACTCATGGAGGGAGGTCTGGCCACACGTAAGTCAGCATGCTGATGCTACAGACAATTGAACTTAAAGGCTCTTTTCCAGTTTAAGCTTCAAAAAGAGTTGTCTGTTTACAGAAATACTAACACAAACAATATGCCAAGCTTGAAAAAGGCAGAGCCCAACTCTATCAGCAAACATTTATTCTCTGTCTTGACTAGTTATTTTGCTACACCAAGCCAAGCAATATGATTAAATTTCAATTAGTACTAAGAAAAATGGTTCATGGAGATACAATCCCTAGCAAGACACAGCTGGGGTAGATTCAGGGCCTTGTTCTCCATTTCATCTTTTGAGGACAGATAACACTGCAAGTAAATATTGTCATCAATTCCACTACACGAAAGAGAGAATGAGGGTTACTCTTCCCTGCACTCAGCCACACAGAATATCATGTGAGATCTACGTAAGTTCAACGTTCATTACTACTTTATAAAAATGATACTAGGGTTTCAAAACCTTCTCTGAAAGACATTAAGGACACCAAACTACTTTTAGCAGTATCAAAGGGATACCAATTTTTTTTTGTGCAAGGATTAAGACCTCTTTACTACATGTATCAACAATTCTTGTCTCAAGCCGAGCTTGAACACCATCCACGTAGCAAAGAAAGCTTAACCACTCCAAAACTCAACTCATCTCAGTCAAGGCTCACAGCCCTTTGACAAGAAGAACAATGTCAAACAAAAACTGAATATTGCTATAAAAAAATGCAAAGGAAGGATAAATGATCAGACAAAACCACAATTAATGAAAAAAGACTGAGAAGATGATACATCAGAAGTCACAACAGAGAACAAGAGTAGAAGGTATGATTTCTTGTCCTAACTGGCTCAGGAATCAGAATAACTTAGATCCCACATGTGAAAGATATGTCAGAAAGCTTGTGGATTAGAACAATCCCCACACCAACAGAAAATAGAGAAGGAAGGAACTGATGTATATTAAATTTGGTTAAATATATAACCTTGGACCAAGAAATCCTCTTATACTGATTTGCATGCTGCTGCACAATCCTTCGATGTATTTGGACCCAGTCGTCTCCTAACAAATCTTTTGCTTCTGACCTAGAAAAATCACACATCATACAACAACAGTTATGCACTAATAAAGGAGCCACCTTTTCTATAAGCACCAAGAAAATTACATACCTGCGCACAGATCTGACAATGTAGTGGATATTATTCATGAGAAATAACTGAGTCAAAGCAGGATCCCTATATTGTTTAGATTTCCCGTCCAGGTTAGTCTGAAGAGCCTGCATTATCCGTGTTGTCACAGATGCCAGCTGAGCATCTGCATCATCGCCATCAAACTCCTGGAAAAGTTGCTTTAGGGTCGACTGATAGCTGCACAATATTAGCGGTTAATACTTGGGTATTATACATTAACTGTCACCAAAAGCTGAACATAACAGTGAGCAAGCAAATCTAGAAGCTGAAATTACTAAGACCAAGTAGACGTAAAAGAAACACTTGACCATCATACTTGAACAATAAGTTGCATAGTCATGGGAAGGTCAAATTACAATATAACTTCAATCACAGGAAACATGTGTTCCGATCCAGAAAACTCAGATCAACATTGTTAAATTTCTTGGCAAATATTTTTACTAAGTGGAAGAATACAGTCAGGAATACCAGGTCAACAATACGCATCAGTTATGAAGAACCAATTCCCAAATTACTTTGAATTTGGAAACTGTATTCACTCTTGACATTAGTTTCTTACTTATTTCCAAATTTTCCGTCATTCAGATAAAAGTGTGGTTGCAAGTCACACCTTTCAATCTAAATGTGTGTTTTGTTAACACACATTCACAGAATAAAAACATAGGTTTAAAACACCTTTTATCTAAACAATGGTTAATTAGAGAATACAATAGAAAGTACAGTGGAGAGGGAATACAGTTTCGACACCGCGGTAGNTTAGAACAATCCCCACACCAACAGAAAATAGAGAAGGAAGGAACTGATGTATATTAAATTTGGTTAAATATATAACCTTGGACCAAGAAATCCTCTTATACTGATTTGCATGCTGCTGCACAATCCTTCGATGTATTTGGACCCAGTCGTCTCCTAACAAATCTTTTGCTTCTGACCTAGAAAAATCACACATCATACAACAACAGTTATGCACTAATAAAGGAGCCACCTTTTCTATAAGCACCAAGAAAATTACATACCTGCGCACAGATCTGACAATGTAGTGGATATTATTCATGAGAAATAACTGAGTCAAAGCAGGATCCCTATATTGTTTAGATTTCCCGTCCAGGTTAGTCTGAAGAGCCTGCATTATCCGTGTTGTCACAGATGCCAGCTGAGCATCTGCATCATCGCCATCAAACTCCTGGAAAAGTTGCTTTAGGGTCGACTGATAGCTGCACAATATTAGCGGTTAATACTTGGGTATTATACATTAACTGTCACCAAAAGCTGAACATAACAGTGAGCAAGCAAATCTAGAAGCTGAAATTACTAAGACCAAGTAGACGTAAAAGAAACACTTGACCATCATACTTGAACAATAAGTTGCATAGTCATGGGAAGGTCAAATTACAATATAACTTCAATCACAGGAAACATGTGTTCCGATCCAGAAAACTCAGATCAACATTGTTAAATTTCTTGGCAAATATTTTTACTAAGTGGAAGAATACAGTCAGGAATACCAGGTCAACAATACGCATCAGTTATGAAGAACCAATTCCCAAATTACTTTGAATTTGGAAACTGTATTCACTCTTGACATTAGTTTCTTACTTATTTCCAAATTTTCCGTCATTCAGATAAAAGTGTGGTTGCAAGTCACACCTTTCAATCTAAATGTGTGTTTTGTTAACACACATTCACAGAATAAAAACATAGGTTTAAAACACCTTTTATCTAAACAATGGTTAATTAGAGAATACAATAGAAAGTACAGTGGAGAGGGAATACAGTTTCGACACCGCGGTAGTTTGGTAAAAACAATTAAGTAATGAACGCATCAGCAAAAAATGAAAAAAAAAAAAACAAGTTAGAACTGTAACATGCAAAAATCTGATGCTCCCAAGTAAGACAACAACCATAAAAATAGGAAAGCAGGGATATGAACTTACTCATACAGAAACTTCACATAGTTAATTACATAGCTAGTCAAAGGATGGACTGTTCCATCAAGAACAGCAGTTTTTGTGGCATCTTTTTCGACTGCTTCTTCAAAATCACCAAAGGTCTCTTGGGCTGTCTGGGCTAAACGCTTTGTCAAAACCACGGCAGATTCTCGCATTTCAGCGCAATATTTATTTCCGAAAATTAGATCAATCTGTCAAGAGTACCCCCCACACACCACAAAACCCAAAAAAATAAAAAAGAAGAATAAATATGTAGATGAATGAATGACCCAGAAAATAGTATGAACTGTGAGAACATAACCTGCATCTACTCTGAACAAAGTTTATAGAATGGGAAAGGGACAGACCAAGTTGAAAACCTGCAACCCACTTCCCCAACAAGTATCCATATGCAAGTTGGACCAGACCATGTTTCAAATTCATGGAAACCCTCTATCTTCAAAGGCAATCAGTCAAGGCCACCAAGATTGTAGTTAATAAGAGCCTACTGATTTTGTTCCTTGTAGATATACCATCCAATGAGTCACTGTAGTCATACCACATTATGCTTTGTATAGAATGGTTTGTCAGCTAATTTGGTCAAGCATCTTAACAGGAAATGCCTATAAGCGTAAACCCAGGTAACACTAATCTTTAATTTTAATGCATACCTATGAACCCAGGTGCTTATCTTAATGACAAGGAACCAGTTCCCAAGATCCCACACTGCAGTCTTGTATTCAGTGATACAGATCAGTGCATCAGGGACAAAAGAATTACACTTCAATTCACTTATAACTGGAAAAAGAAGCTAAAACATAAGATGCATGTTCAAACACTACAGTCAAAAGCTAAACTAGTAATCAAAAGAAATGATTTTTTGTCATTCTAGAATCCTCTGTGCATTGAATTTACTAAATCTCCATAGTTGGGGTAGCAGCTACAATTTATATGCAGTCTCAAGTTGCCAAAAATTTGTTATCTTGCTAACTCATTAAGAACCTTCAAGTACTTCAATACATTTACATATGAAAGAAAATTGTCGAGTTCTGGATAGTTTAGTAAGATGTGGTCATAATACAATAGGTAATTTAGGCATACCTCTGACCGAAGTTCTCTCATTATCTCATACATGTCCAAAAGGACGAATAATTTTTCCGGAGACCTCTTGCTTTTGGCAATTGCCTCTCCAAAACTAAGCAGCATGGCAACACTGTTTGCAGTAACTTCTGCAAAACATTGATCCCGGAGAGATTCGTAGCCATCAAATATTTGATCAGAGACTTTCTTTTCCCCAGCAAATAGAAGTTTGACCTGTTTCAAATATGTTGAAAGGGCTGAAGATACAACAAAAAATAAAATAAAAAAGAAACTTTAAAAATCAGACTCAATTTGATGTAAACGATTACAGCAATCCGCATGAAATGAATCCAGTTCCCAATCTTAGCCTCCAAGACCTCCCACTGCATCTTTTGGACATCATCTTTACCAAGTTTTTCCACACCTAGTTTTCTAAGGCTCTGTTCCACAACTGAAATACGGGTTTCCCTGAGAGTAACCAACCAAAGAGAGCACAATTTTTATGTTTGAAGGGGATAAATGCTCGCATTCAAAAAAAATAAAGGAATAAAATGGTAAAAAACAAAAATCTACTCCTTCTATATCTAGTAATAGCAGACCACCTAGAACTTATGAAATTTCACTCGTAGCTGCAGTCATGCATGGGCAAGTATTATTGGTTTCATTAAAAGACAGGAAGCCATCACTAACCAAAAGAAATATTCGAAGGAGGTCACTCTAGGGAAAACGAATAACTGAATAAAAAAACAGAGCTTAATTCAGGGGCATTTACTCCACAATTTTTGTTAGGTGACTCTGACACGAACTGCCAATCTCCATTTATACATATTATGAATTTCGAATGACAGCAACAATCTTCGTCAACCATTTGCAGTAGTATCTGAGCAGGATTGGACCAACAGATAATGGGTTTGGATGCCAGCCACAAATTCAGGTGTACATGATGCAAGTACTGTTTGTACCTTTCAAGCTAGAAATTTCTCACCAATCAAATGGAAGAATTACTATAATATTACATTTATCTTACCCAACATCCAATTATTTTAGGGACAGGAGTTTTGTAGTCTTTATCAGGTAGACCCTTCCATATATCGCAAATTCACCAACATCCTTGTCTGAGCATTCCAATCTTCCAAACACCACCACCTTCCTCTCTAATGATCTCGCACACAGGAGCTGCAACATAATATCACTAGTAGCTCTACTACTCCATAAAAGAGCTCATACTACTCCTGTCATTTTCCTACTTTTTGCATCTTGCAAACCCAACACTACATTTCAGAATAAGGGATAAGATGATACATAAAACTTAATCTACTCCCAATTATTGTGTTGACTGCTTCCGCCTCCCCTATCTGGCTAATTATCTGCTCACCCTTTATAGGCTACACAATAATATTTTTCTGATGCCTTGCGGTAATTGCAAACATGTTATTAAAAATCAAGTCATGTGTTCTTTTTTATTTTGGGGATTTGCCAATGACATTGATTATCATATGAATTAAATCATATTGTACCCATGCCAATCTGGTCCTTTTGACTTAACAAAACCCTTTGAAAGAACAGTACACTAATACTTAGACACATATCAACAAAAAATGGAATATCCACTCGGCCAGTATTTGAAAACATGGTTACTAGGCCACGAAAAGCATACATTTGAGCCTGTCACTACATCAATATATAACAGAAGATACCTGTAAATATTGAAGAGTTGCTGTTGAAAACCAGCTTGAACCATTTGTTGGGCTAAATCATGCAGCAAAGGCAGAATTCTGGGTGGAATGAGAGTTGGAGGGTGGTAAACAACAGTTTCTAAACTTTTGTTTTGGTGCTTGCCACTGGCATCACCCTGACCAGGTGATCCTGCTGATGGTCGCAGAGAATTGGGTAGGCAATCAAAAAAACGATCAGGTTCCACAGGTTTGCTGAAATCCAAATGATACACAACTTACTTCTATAGAAACAAACACGCATATGTCTAACACAAGGAGAAGATACAAGCAGACTAAACTTTTGAAAATTATAAAACAATAAGCACAAGTATTCCACATATATGTGCAGGTTAGTATACAATCTATTAAAAAAGAATGTGATTTAAATTCCCAAAACAAAAAATTCTTGCCTTTATGAAAAATATATGAAAATACCAATTGCCTCCCAAATATCTTCATCGTCATTGAATGACAAAATCTGAAGCTTACCAGAGGTACAAACTTCATTGGCAAAAGCTTAAATATAGAAAACAAGGCCTTAATAAGTAATTTCCCATATGTAATAGCATAAATGCAAAAAGAACTCTTTTTTAGTTTTTGAAAGGCATATAAATTATATGAACCCAACAAAATTCCTAATATGCACCAGGCCTCATGAAATATCACAGCTTAGAATCATTTAGTATCATGCATAATTTTGACTGGGAGTGTCCTCCAAAGGTGAATCGTGATGTCTCCTTCCAATAGTCTACAGTGAACCAGGAACAAGCAACACTTCTTCTCAGGCTTGTGTCTGGCTGGAAAGCACATGGAGAAAAGTCTATCCTAAATTTATGGCAAAGAACATAGAATTGTAGAATATACTCTTCGAAAACCTAATGTATCTGAGATCTAATTAAAAGTTGATGCAAGCAATACAAACTAAAGTAGAAGTCTGAAGTAAAAAAAAAAAATGGTTGATTAACTTAGTTTGGACTTCTAGTACTACCAAGACAAATGAGAAACAATTTACCTGTCTCATAAAACAAAATATAATATGTGAATATTCAGCGAATATAGTCTCCAAACAAACCTTAGAAATATTCATTTCTGGAGTATCTGAAACTCAAAAAGTTGAAATGGACAAAGGAAGTAAAAATGGAGTTTTGAACCCAATTCTTTAAATCACATGCAAGATCATGAAATCAGGTCTTGATTGTTAAACTAAGGGCAACTTCAGTTACATAACAGCTGCGACACTATATAACCTGTATCCTTTGATACCATGCCTACTCTGTGGGGAAGATTACATTGTATAGTGTCTGAAGACAGATACCAAAAAAAATGGTTTCAAGGTGACAGCAACACCCAGACGTGGCAAATATTTAAAAAACCAAGAGAGACAAAGATGGACAGAATAAAACAATATCTTGTTAACTTAATCTCATACACTATGGGGATGGTGAGAAGAGATATATTTTATATCCCAGAGGGGCTATAATTGGAGATACCATTGTTTCTAATTGTGCACCTAAACATAGGAACATGAACACATGTACAAATGCGTACAGGTATGTATGAATAATTTGTTTTATGTGCAAAAAATACATGACAAAACAAATTTCCCCACTTTTTTGAAAAAAAAGAAAAAGACAAAGAAAAATTTCCCTATTCTTTCTTTTTATGGTAAATACAAAATTGGAAATGCATAAAGTTTTGTTCAAGTTTAAAACTGTCCTCAAGTACCTCAAAGTTGATGAGACAGACAAAATTAGCTATAGTTTCCAGATATAAATGCATGTACGATGTGTCGAAAAACATATTCAGGAGAATAGCAATGTCTGCTGATACATGGCTCCTCTCTAAAATAGGGACATGGCAAATAGTCATAACAGAAACCAAGGCTAAGTCGAGTTAATATGTGGCAGAGTTGCTATTCCATACCTAAATTATCATCTAGCCCCACTGGAAGGTGTTTATTGATTTTTCCATCAAAGGTGGTTAATGTGTGCACACCACAAGTTCAATTTTAATTTACTTCATACAACATATAGTCAGGATGATGTAGATTAGGATCAGGGGATAGGTATCAACATACAAGTACATATGTTAGGGTAGAATCCTCTAGAAAAAGAAAAAAAGAAAAGAAAAGAAGATTCCCTCTTGGAAGGGTGCAATGCCATATTGCATTCCTCTGTATCAGAAGGCAAAAAATGAAAATGCAGGCAGTTTTCGTACTACAAAAATTTCTAAGGCTGCAAGCTAATTGCCAGGGCACGAATCAACCATGTTACAATGCTCCTATGTCTCATGAGGAATGTATTCAGCCACAAACTACACCTCACAGATTATGAGAAAAAGTTCATACATGCTTAGTCAATCTCAATCTTCACTGATACAAATTTGAATTATTGCAAGGCCAAGTCTATTTTATAATTCTAGAACGAACATTTATAAAAACACATGTTAAATGCAGAGACTGGAAATATTTTGCTATCTTGTGTAGAGACAGAGCAATGACTCAGATAACAAGTTGTGTTCACTGTCCACACAGCATAGAATGAGATAAAAAAGCAGAAAATACAAAGAAATTTCATGAACTAATGAAAGTTAACATCAGTAAACAGCAAACCTGTATGAGGTCAACAGCTGCCGAAACTCTTCTTCTAGCTTTAGAATAGCCTTTCCAAGTAAGTTATTTGCATGATTAACCACGCCAATGCTACTTTTGAGGCTTTTGTTTCCACTAAAAAAAGAAACAATGCTTCTCAGCTGATCAACTGCTTCTAGGTAACTTTCCAAATCCTCATGTGGTCCTCTTAATATTGTAGCTTCCGCCTAAAAGTCAAAATTAGTTAAAATAAGCACGAAGAATCAGATCATGTAACTCTTAAAGTTGTTTTGCGATGCCTAGATAAAATGACAGGGTATTAATTAAGGATAAAATAGCTCAAAAGATATAGAAAATCTAGAGAAGAGGAACTTGAACCTTAACCGAACATAATAGTTTACTTCTAGTCCACGTAGATATGAAAGCAGATTCTAGTCAACCTCTCAGGATGACACCTAGTTCAATAGTTTTTTTTTTTTTTGCAAATTCACCTTCTAAAAAATATCAGAAGACACTATGGTAGTCCTCATGGATAACCCATAAAGAGGGCCTAGCAGTTTTTTCCGATCATAAGAAGCCATCACAGTTAACCCTCACAAAAGATTTTAACTTATGGTTTCCCATGTACATGAATACAGAGAAGATGAAGAATAGGCAACTATGGAATAATACCTTTGATTCTCAATATGAGGCTAACTTTACTTATAATTCATTTTGTCACTCAACTGGATTTTATCATCGCTGATTGTCTTTAATGAAAGCATCATTACTTTGAAACTAGTTTCACAAATGGATTACACTCTAAAAGACAAGTTGATTTCACATAGTTAGATGACTTTAAGAGTCCCACACAATTGACACACAAACAGGAGAGAAATTGTTCAGAAATAGTACACTACACTTGAATCATCATATGTATTTTTAACAAAAAATTATAAGTTTTCCTAAATTCAAACTGAAAAAATAGGGTTAGTAGTATTTTTGGTCCCTAAAGTATTAATTTTGTTAATTTAGTCCCCAAATTATTCAATTCGTGTCACTTTGGTCCCTAATCAAATAATTCATTAAGTTTTTTTGACATAAATGACGATGTGTCACTCTTTCAGATAGTATCACGTGCCAACACGTGATTATATAGGGACCATTTTGACATGAATTAAATACTTTAAGGACCAAATTAATAAAATTGATATTTTAGGGACTAAACTAAATTATTCAAAAAATGCATACTTTACCCAAAAAAATATATATCCCATTTATTATAGCTGAATTACTAAGCAAAGAATTAAAAGTAGTAGGCTTGTCACAATCTCATATTTCAACGTTAATACAAATAAATTACATACTCAAAACTCCTAAAAAGAACCATGTCATGTTGCATACATGCATAAACACTCGTATACATATACGTACACATATGTAGTTGTATGTATGTCCATGTGTAGAGGTATTTATGTCTATATTATGAAATAACCAGACTCGAATTGATCATGTGCAAATCCACCACATTAGTCCTCAAACAATATGCATGGATACATGCATAAGAAAAATAATGACTGAATAAACAAGATCAAAGTGACTAATCAAGCAATTAACCTGTCGCGAAAGATCGAATCGGGCCAAAATAAATTCGGCTGCCTTCAGTGTCTTATCAATGTTCTCGTGCGCCCTCCTAATCGAATGAGTTCTTATCTAACAAAAGAAAATCATTCAAAAACAATTACAATCCTAACATTTCCTTTTCAATCCTCCAACAATTCACCACACACAAACACACACATAATTATACATGAAGTTACGTATGTAAATTCCTTCATCAATGTCAAAGTGAGAGAGAGAGAGAGAGAGAGTGCCTGAGTGGGACGCATTGCGGTTTCGAGGGCGGAGAGGCGGTGATCAAAGGAGCCGAGGATGGCGACCATGTTGTCTGTGATGGTCTGGCTCTTGTGCAGGGACTCTCTCATGAATGATGCCCTCTCGGCTAGGGTTTCCATTGCCAGAGAATGAACCCCCATTCTCTTGACTGTTCCTCGTAATATTCTCCGTCGAACACTTCTTTTCTCGCACAAATTGAACCTCAGCAAGAGAGAGAGAGAGAGAGAATTGGGGTGGTACGTTTCGTGTTGGCGTTTATATACTTTTCTGTTTGTATTGTTAATGGAGAAGGGTTGGCTAGCTGGTTTGGCTCGACTCATCCTCAAATTCAGCTAGCTCTATAGTCACGTGAGTCCGTGACCATTGATCATATGTGATGATTTTATATGATTATTAAATTTGCATTGATGGGATTGATTAGCGTACCAAAAAAAAATATGGATAACGTATCACTCATTATTTTTTTAATTATTCAGTTATAAATTAGCTAAATTCAAATTTTGATAATTTTTTAAGGTTAGACATTATTTATGAATACCTTAATTTCAATTTGGATAGTTTGTCTTTGACCTGACCAAAGAAGGGATTAGATAAAGTACACATAAATTGATCTGAATATTTCAAACCATTAAAATATATATATATATCACTTTTTTGGGTAAAACTTATTAACTTTTAGAGTATACTCATTTTTTAGGTTCCTTATCACTTTTTAAAAGTAGAATTTATCACTTTTTTGTTTATTTTTTTTTGGAGTTTTTTTATTTTTTGGTATAGTATGCGCCTATATTGAGAGATAAAATCTCTACTTGGATATAATACCAAACTAGTATGATTAAACATTAGTTGATATGATTTTTGGTATAGTATGCCCTAGTATTGAGAGATTACATTTATATAATAAAATAAAATATAATTCATATTCTAAAAATAAATTAAATAATTTTTATTATTCACGGTTGAAATCTTTTTAAATTTTATTTTAAAATTAATTCAACGACTAATATTAATACCCTAAATTTAATAAGAAAAATAAGTCCTAATAGTGTGTTTGTGATGACTTTTTAAAAAAGTTTCTAAAACTTATAACTTCTCATAAATACTTTAAAAAAAATAGTATTTTTGACCGCCCCACTACTATCACTTTAAAGTTACTTCGACGACTAATATTAACACCTTAAATTTAATAAGAAAAATAAGTCCCTAATGGTGTGTTTGTGATGACTTTTTAAAAATACTTTTAAAACTTATAACTTCTCATAAATATTTTTTAAAAAATAGCATTTTTTACCGCCCCACTACCACCACCCCACCACAACAACTATCCCACTACCGCCCCACCACAATTACCACTATCACAACTGTCGTCACCACCTCTATCATAACCATCGTCGTCGTCGTAACTGTCGCCGCCACCTCACCCGTCGCCCCACCACCACCATGACTGTTGTTGCCATCCTACCACCATCACCACCCCACTGCCACTATTACCAACACTATCATTGCCTTTTAACCCCCTTGACAACTTTGTCACAACCACCACTACCACTCCACCACCACCACCACCACTATCCCACTGCCACCACCATTACCACTACCAACCCACCTCCACCATAACTATTGTCGCCACCTTACCACCACCACCACCACAATTGTTCTACCATCACCTCTAATACCACCACCCACACAATCATCATCACTATCACCATTATCACTATCGCTATCGCCACCATTGTCATCCCACCACCACTACAGCCGTCACCACCCCACCCTCACCCCACTTCCCCCCTATCACCATCGTCGTCTACTGCCATTAACTATTACAATCATCATCTCATTCTTATATTTATTAACACTACTATAATTATCCATCGCTCACCGTTAGCACCCACGCCACCACCATTGTTGTTCACTGCCACCTATAACCACCCGTCGTCGCCTACCATCGTCACCAGCCACAATCACCCACCCCCACTACACCTACCATCATCACCTGTCATCGACCACCACTGCCGCCACCCACTATCACTCACCCCTACCACACCTATCACTATCGTCATTTGCTACCACTCATCACACTGTCGTCTAAAAGTACTTGTCGTCGCCCACCACCACTATTGTCACTGTCCACCATTACAACTCACCATTATCACCCATCACTGTCGTCGTCCACACCCACCACCACTACCATCGTCACTACCATCATCGTCATCCAACACCCATCACCGTTGCCACTCATAACTGCCACCACTACCACGATCATCACTATCCACCACAAAATCGTCACCGTCTCTCACCACCGGTATCGCCTATCACCACTATCACCGTTCATCCCCACTATAACCAGTGTTTAAATTCTTTCTCTCACCTCTATATTTGTAATTTGATTTTGAATGTAAATATAAATATATTTAGTGTTATAATTAGTTCTTGTATATTCTATCAAATATGATAGACAAGTTAATTTACATGTACACTTATCTTTTCCTTTCACTTTTTCATTTATACCAAACACAAATAGAAATTTCTCTTTTACTTCACAACCCCCTCACTAAACCTAAAGAAGGGAAGCAAAAACCTTAAGAGATAACTCAAGTATTAACAGAGATGAACTATAAATTCAAACTCCTTAGTGTAAGGTCATGAAGGATGTATCTCTCATAAATACTCTAATGTTTGAATATGTATACATTAGTTGCTATGATTAAATAGTGCATTTTTTCACAAAAAAAAATGCATTATCTTGAGCATACTTTCTCTGATTATGCATTTTCATTTATTTTATTTATTTTTTTCATCCAAACTTCTTTTCATTTTTTAATCTTTAATTATGCGTAGAAGAGTATACATATGTACTAGTTATATGGTACAAATAGAAGCTAGACATCATTTTTTAAAAAATGAAATTACTTTCTACTTAAAAAGGTATTACAAAAACCATACATGAGTAATTCAATTGGAGGGCACTACCCGCTACATTAAAATCATAAATAAAATGAATATATAAGTGAAAAGTAAAAATGATATCAATGGTCATCCATGCATGTTTACGTAAGATTTATTATTGTACGAATAAGAAAAAGTAATGAGATGCATAATGACTATAATGTAAAAAAAAATAGACCAAAATTAACTTTTAAAGATATAGTAAACAAATATGATTCATATAATTATAACCTATGACTTGACAAAATATGTTTTTTTGGACAGAAAACGATTCATTTAATTAATCGGGCCAAACTTTGTTGAGTTTGAAAATAATAGTTTAAAAGAAAACATGTCTTATTCAAATTGAAAGACCCAAAAATTTTCCCAAGGACTTGTCAAAAAAAGTTACCACTTCGTGCATATAGTTGTCATTGATCCCCTGCTTTGTTTTGCAACAAGCCTCATACACTCTTTTATTAAAATATATATATCTATATAATAAAATAGTTTATAATTTAAATCTCAAAAGATAAATAAAATTACTTTTATTATTCGCGGTTGAGATCGCTTTAAATTTTACTTTAAAGTTAATCTAATGACTAATATTAACATCTTAGATTTAATAAAAAAAAATAGGTATCTAAGAGTGTTTGGAGTGACTTTTAAAAGTACTTCTAAAAATTATTTATCATAAATACTTTTAAAGAAAAATAGTATTTGAAACTGCCCCACCACTACCTCTATCACCACCACCACCACCACTGCCACCACCACCGCCCACGCTACCACCACCTCCGCCCTTGTCGCCGCCACGGTCATTACCACCCACCACAATCATCATCGTCTCCTACCACTACCACTGCCATTTCCGCCCACCGCCTCTCACCTCCACTACAAAGCTTAAATTTTTTTATTTATTCTCTCTGTTTGTGATTTGATTTTGGATATAAATATAAATATATTTATTGTTTATTAATTTGATTACTCTATACCTTCAAGCACAGACAATAACTAGTATATATATTTATATAATAAAATAGCTTATAATTTAAATTTTAAAAGATAAACAAAATGACTTTTGTTTTTTGTGATTTAGACCGCTTTAAATTTTTTTAAAAAGTTAATCTAACGGTTAATATTAACACTCTAAATTTAATAGGAAAAATAAACCTCTAAAGGTGTGTTTGGAGTGACTTTTTAAAAGTATTTCTATAAATTATTTTTTATAAATATTTTTAAAAAAATAGTGCTTAAAACTGTCCCACCATTACCTCTATCGCCACCGCCGCCCCCATCGTGGCCACCACCACCACCGCCACCACGATCATTGCTACCCATCATAACCATCACCGTCTCCTACCACCATCACCTTTCACCTCTATTACAACCGATGTTTAAATTCATTTATCTCTCCCCTATGTTAGTAATTTAATTTTAGATATAAATACAAATATATTTATTATTTATTATTTTTTATTACTATGTGCCTTGAAACACATACAATAACTGTATATATATATCCTTCCAAACATGCTGCCAAGTCCAGTCATAAGCTTTGTCTCTGGTCCTGAAAAAGAAAATTTTGGTACCATACATTTATTTATCACATTTATGAAATTTTTATTATTGTTGTGATATCCAAAAAAATGGTAAAAATAATTATTACAACAATAATAAAAACACCTACAAAAATAATAAATTTTTTGATATAAAATGACCAACAAAATATATAAAAACACATTAAAGTAGAAATTTTTTAAAGTACGGTAACGATTTTTTTTGTCAGTACAGTAATCAAGTCCTGAGCTTTAAATAACACAAACAAAAAGCTTAAAAAAAAAAAAAAGGACCTCTCAAACAGTTCACAGATAAAGAAGTGTATTCACCCACAACCATACAAAGCTAGAGGAAGGCAAAAACAAACCCAGTTTGCCTATGATATTCTTTTTCTTAAGTTCTACACAAAATCCAAAATAATGGCTTCACCAGCTTCTATCCTTCTGGAGCTCTTATTTGAACTATATCCTAATACCACAAATAGACCCCTTTACAAAATAGAAAAGATGTGAATCTCAATAGGTCCAATACTGGGGCAATCCCATATCCGGAGGAAGATGACAATGACCCTCCTCTTGCTTCCTGACATTGACACTGATGACATTCCTCTGAGGATAGAATTGAGCGTCCTGTCTATTTCTCACACCTGCCAGAAAGATAAAGAAAACTTTGTTAGGATAGGTAGTCGAATAACAACCCAAGGTTTAAAATAACCAAATATTTGATTCAAAATCACGATTCAAAGTTGAAATATAGTCCATTGACTCGGAAATCACTTGGACTCATGCGTGGTAACATTGCAGAATGATATCCGGTGATGTGCAAGAATTGATATATCAAAAAAGAAGTTGAACATGGTGAAAGATTCAGCTATGAATTAATGATAAACTTGAAATAATTGTGAGTAAAAAGAGATACTCAAATTAAGAGTAAAACCCCGTATATATAGGCAAAATATAAAAATCATAGTAAGGGTAAAAAAGAGAAAAGAAATCCTAAAGGGAAAAGAAGTCCTAATAAACCTAGACTATCTATACTCCAACACTCCCCCTCAAGCTAGGCGCAAAAATGTCAACTAAGCCAAGCTTGACAACGGAGTCCCAAAGAACAGACAGAGTGACAGGTTTGGTAAAAACATCCGCAACTTGATCACTGGTCCCCACAAACGATGGAGTAACAAGACCACTGCTGACCTTCTCCCGAAGAAAGTGAACATCGATCTCTATATGCTTCGTTCTCTCATGTAGTACAGAGTCAGAAGCGAGCTGAATAGCAGATTGATTATCACAATATAATGTGGATGGAGAGGTCACTGAAAAACCCAACTCGTCAAGAATCGATCGTAGCCAGATAATCTCACATGTGCCAAGTGCCAATGCCCGATACTCTGCCTCTGCGGACGAGCGGGAGACAACTGCCTGCTTCTTGCTCTTCCAAGAGATAAGATGAGTCCCTCGAAAAGCACAGAAACCCGTAGTAGATCGACCATCACATGCTCCCCCATAATCTGAATCTGAATAACAGGCTAGAGAACCGGTCTGAGATCCTGATGCATAAAACAACCCAAGTCCAGGACAAGACTTGAGGTACCGAAGAATATGATAAACTTCATCAAGATGAGGCTGACATGGCCTATGCATCCCAGTGTCTGAAAAAAAATCCAAAACATACTTTCTCTGATAAAGAACAATACCTTAGATAAGTCTACCTACCAATCTTTGATAAACTGTCGGATCTTTCAACTCCTCACCTTCAGCAGTAAGCTTCAGGTTTGGAATCATAGGTGATAATGCCGGTTTGCACCCCAACATCCCAGTGTCTGAAAGAAGATCCAAAACATACTTTCTCTGAGAAAGAACAA